TCAAACCCATCCGAAGGAAGGCCGGCACATGTAACCTCTCTGACAAATCCAAGAAGCTACTACAATCGGTACGACAAAAAAGTGTAGCCACGTGTAAGCTTTCGGACCAGCTTGAAATGTGCACTCCCATATTCATCCTTCATTGACCCTTCAGCACAGGCTACAACTAGCATTAAGCATTTGGCTCAAAAATGAGCTGTAGATGATGGTCGATGAAGAGAATGTTGAACGCTTCTGCACAGGAGACTTGGATATGCTGCTGACGAACTGACGGGAACTTAGCTCGAGGGTGTTCAAACCGTACAGTTTGACCAGAACACTCACCCTCCGAGGAGCCAGTTGCGTTTTCAAAATCCACAAATTTTTGAAATGAGCTCCGTGGAGTGCGTCTGGTGCAAAAAGAAGTTGTGCATTTTTATTTTAGTTGGTACGCAACAAATGTGAGACGACAGTAGGACAATGAGGCATAAACTAACCTATTTGTTTTGAAAAAATGCGAGTATATTGAAAGGACCTATTACTGGGTGAGAGACTTCCTAGCAACTCTAGTAAAGTCTTAATTCTGCTGCTGTCGTTATCCGTTTAAAGCGGACATAAATCAGTGACAGAATTTTTCTCATAGTGAATCAGTTCAGTCCCCTGAAACGGTATCCACTACTCATCACTCAGCGGTCGTACATAATTCTATCACCGTCAGTTCCCTCGGAGACTACGAACATGCCACTCATACGGGTATCTTGTCTCTAAAGATAGTTTTTGCCTCGTTTTTTGGATGGTGGTAGTGATGCGACGGTGACACCACTGATGGGGAGGCATGTGAGTAGTATGTGTTCTTCGTAGAATTTCGCTTTGCGTCTTTTGAAAAAGGGAGATCTGTTGAGGAATTCGTGGAGTCGCTTTGTAACATTTGCTTGGATTTGACCACAGAATGGTTGGAGTTAATGAATCTTTAGGAAAGTTCAAGAAGACGCGTTTCGGGAGAAGATGGGCGTCCAGTTTTTGTAAATAAGATGCTTCCCTGTTCAATGGTCTGTAACCGGTCAGTTGGCATTTCCTAACAAATAACTCCGCAGCGGAGGCCTTCTTCCTTTCACTGATAGTCTTTGATTCAGATTCGTCTGCACCAACCCACTACTGATCCATAAACCTGTGAGTAGTATTTCTGGTGACAATATAGTGCGATATTTCAAATATCGCACCAAATGGGACATGGGACGGCCTTTGTGTAGCACATTTAGTTGAAGAATAGCGTGAACGAGAGGTTCTATTACATTATTATATTATAAGTATATTTGCCGAAAAATCACTCACTTCTTTACAGTCTTCCACGACACTCTGTTCCTCCACTCGCAGATCGGTCAACACGACTTCATAGAACCAGGGCTCCCGAACGGGAGTGTACAAAATGGTGTTGACTGTTTGGGTCATCCCAGTCAAGTTCATGCCACCAATCAGTAACAGCCCGTTCATTTCTACGGGAGAACTTCCAATGACGGAGAACGACTGCTGTCAAGGCCAAATGGAGTATGGTAGCAGTTGCAGCATGAATTATGGTGAATCGATTTTATGAAGACACGAAAGAGCCAATGCTAAGATACGAAAAACGTTGGTGAAGCTGGATGGGCTCTCGGACAGAACCCCAAATATTGGTTTATCAATTTGTGCCGATGAGGATAGTGTTATCCGGAATGTGGAATGACAGAAAGAAAAAAAGAACGTGGAAAACTCAGTCAAGGTATGGTGTGAAGAAATGAAACATAATTAGAGTCGACTACGCTTATCAGGTGAGTGAAGCAAATGCGTTGGCCGTCGTCTACTTCAAGACTGAACATGGTTCACCATCTAGGGCACGACAAGGGAGTCGGCCATCTAGCGCAGTTTAGATGACCAACTGAACGTTTCTGGTCCGGTCAGATCATAACATCAAGTGAATGAGCGCTCTGGCTGATACTGAAGATCAGCCGTCGCACTGTTGATCCACGATGCATATGCAGTCCCTCGCTGAAGCTGACGGTTAACCAACAGCTAAGCTGTCGTCTTTTCGCAACAGGTTCACTGCAGGTTCGCAGAATCAACCCCTTACCGACAGAATAGTGCGGCGTCAGACAAGTAGCTACTCTAGCTGAACGCACCTAGAGCTAGCTTTAAGGACCCAAGGATACATTTCGTTAGTATTGAACTACCCAAATTAGAGAACTCAGCAGTAAGTGATACGACCTCATAGGTTGACAAACCCGATACTTTGAGTAGCACGCTACACTTTGAAGATTTGGAAAGTGATCTTGGAAACGCGACATCTTGTGCGTGCTTTAGACCAGCATTGTCTCCAACTTGAAGTAAAGTCCATCACAAGACGAAACAGATATAACGAGATCAACAATAACAATGGCTTCAACTACAAATTCAGACGGTGAAGGTTGGTCCCGAGTGGCCTCAAGGAGCACACTTTTCGTGATGAGTCCGGAATAAAATCCATCGTGTACCCTGAGGCACTCATAGGTGTTCGAATAAAAGTCATCCCGAACGACCCAGCACCATATGCGCAGTCAAATGCGGGCTGTAAGTCTGATAAAACGACAATTGTTTATTCTTCGTATGTGTGCTAATGTTCCACGGTCATTGGCGAGTGAAGGTACAGTCAGCGTTTGCACGAGGGCTGTCAGGAAACCTGAGTTCATCCCTCACTGGTGCTGGTGTGCCAATGCACGATACTCATTAAAGCCGCAGTAATGATGTTCACAAAGCTGCTCCAAGAATTCACTCCTCTTATCCTCTATGAGAACCGAAACGATAGTCAAGACTTTCGTGACCTTCTCAACACTGTGCATGAGTTGTTTTCAGCAGTGAACGAGCCTGCGTTCCGTATCCCCAAACAGCTCAGGAGAAGGTCTGGATTAGGATCCTCATCCCCTTTAAGAGCAGGAGACCGTACGAACTCCGTCTTCATTTGGAGCCCAGTAATTTAAGTCACTCACTCATAGTTGAATGTTGAGGACCAACCAAGCTGTCCTCTGGAATCTCATACTCGTTTACGGATTAAATTATGTCAGCAAGCGCTTCGTTTACTGGCAGTATTTTCTGTCAGCTGCCACGGACAAGTTAGAATGCCGATTGCCTGTTCCGATACATCTGTCTTTTTCAGTTATTCAGCTATTTCTATCCACCAATTCCGTCGGTAATTATTGAAGTTGTGAGTCGATCGCTCCCTCTGGGTCCTTTGTGCTTACCAGATGGTAAGGATTACTGTACTCTACAGCGTCTACACAGCTAACTTGTGTTGCATCCCAGGTTCATGTTTGAATGCGTTCCTTCGTGGGCTAACTGCCATTCTGTCCTAATTTTTACCATTCTACGTCTGTTCCGACGGTCTTGTTCACATTTGATGGGAGTTGGTAGAATTATGCCTTCCGGACACCTAGCTTAAAGTCAATGGACCGTTTTCTAGTCGGATGAGAAGAGGAAAGATCGTGGAACGAACGGACCAGGGTAAGGTCTTAGTCCGCAAGCTTACAATTCACCTATAGTCTTGGACGGCGGTAGATGATAGCTGTGTGATCGACTTTAGTACTCGATCGGTTGCATTTCAGAAGACGTCGGCACACATGTCTATGTGGGAAATTAGTACTTGCGATCACTGCTGCCGGTCCTGAAACCATATACACCAAGTAAGCTGGTTTTATCAATTCTCCAAGCCCTTTTGTTCGAATCGGCACCCAGCAATATCTGTTTGATCCATGAACCTCAGGAATTTGAAAAGACCTCGATTGAAGTTTTCCTAATCATCCCATAGCTAGAGTCGATTGGGGCATATACAGGCATAACCAAAACGTTGCGCATCTATGGTTGCTAAGTGTAAGTTTTGATGGACACGATTACTCTGACGGCGCTTGGTTTGTCGTCCACAAGATCCTGTTCAGATAACATTTCAAGTCTAGTATAATTGTTAAACCACGGGGACTACGGGAAACTGTGCTAACTGGTCACCAGTGATCAACGAAGAGCAGATAATGAGAAAGTGGTGTGGGTCCACGTTTCGTTGAGATGCATTACGATAGTGGAATCTTGTATGCACGCATTACCATTCCGCAAGAGCTATGTACAATACGAAAAGTGTTTTGATCGTGAGCTTGACACAGAATGCAAAGATCAAATGATGCTAGGCGGAGAGAATTCATTAAGGTTAGAAACGTAAATCTAAGCTGTGTTTTACTGTGTAGAATGTCAAGAACTCCCCACTAACTGATTTAGAAAAAGGGAGGATCGAATTCGCAAGAGGAGAAATGAAAGCTGGAACTCAGATAACATGTCCCTTTGCCGGGTGGATGTGTCATTTGTGAGTTGCCTAGGTCATAGAAAAGATTCTTCAAGCCCTGGATGGAAGAGTCTTTCCATGAGGTTGTATGAACGTGGAGCGCTTTGTTCCGAGTTTTGCTTTTCATTCAAAAACCTACATCATAAAGTTCGTAGTATATAGGTTCTCTTAAGTGATTCTCTCTTCGGTCATTGATCCAAGAGTCTGACCCGTCTATTAGTGAAAGTCTTGAAACCGCTCGCGAAGCGTGTTTTCCACCATTCAGGTGAGTTTATCTCCCAGTTTCCAAGCCACAAATGATAATTCCCTTACTTGGATGAGAGTGCTTATATCTGTTGCCTTCAACTTTTAGTTTTAGTAGGTAGTGGGAGCGATAGTGATCCAGCTCAATTGTGTGGCAAATAAGACATGGTTTCTGATTCTGTTGTGAATAACAGGTGCCTACTGAGTATTAAAATCATCAAATCATTCAGCGACAACACCCTTTCACTGCCTAGCTGCCACATCACCAGAAGGAAGCACGAGGGCTTGGATACCGCCAAGTTGCCCAAGCCTAGGCAGGAAAAGTCGAGAGGCAGAGGTCGGGTTCGAACCACGGACCTTCTGGTCAGTAAATTCGCGCTCTAACCACTTCAGCCATCTCGCCCCCTACCGAGTACCACCGGATTCTTCTTTTCATGTGGATTAACAGGGTTTACTAATGGCCGTGAAGGACACACCTGTCAGACGTTGGAGGATTGACATTTTCAGGCCTACCTTTGACCAACCGGCCCTCACGGAGGAAAAAGCAGCGCTGCTGGTAACCTGAGGGAAACGGACACTAAGACTTTACTCTAGACTGCCAGGCAATGGGATCACCCGTAATAAAGTGACTCGCTACTCTTGGAAATAGGGATTTTTACTGAACTTTGTGGCTTGACTAAGCGTTAAAAGACCGAATTCCAAGACCACTGTGGTAGCAAAGTTCGACCATCATGACAAGGTGGTGGCACTAGGTTGTGCGTCTTTCACAAGTCAATTTGGCTTTCTAACCCACAGTATTCTGACAGACACTGTCATCCAGCTAGATCATCTGATTACCGTATGACCACTATATGACTCAGTTCTGGTAGCTGGAACGGTTTCATCTGGCCATTCCAACAGCCTAACCGTCGAATATTGCTAGGGCCTAAAGGATCGCACCGATTGATCATGTGCATCAGAAATAACCTAATATAGGGGAGTTATGGATTAGTCAGCTAAACGTCATCCCATCCAACTGGTCGAATTCTTCAGAAATTTGGCAGTTATTCTCTAGGCTTCAGATTGTTTTGCTGTTTTATTGGGGGCTGGTGTTGCTTGTGCGGACGTCCCACTCACAATTCTGTACAAAGTAAAACAAAGACAAACGCTGAAAACTTGTTCAGTGCCTCGTAACAAATGGATGTTCATGTAACGGACTTAATTCTCCCCTTGACCGCTTGACGTATAAATGGACCATTGTGTTTGGAATCCAAAAGAACAATCGGCACCCCCAGCTAACGCAGATTACTTCCAGAGTGCCTTAATCCTGAGTGAATACTACAGCGAGATGGTTCAAGTGGTTAGAGCGCAAATTTACTGACCAGAAGGTCCGTGGTTCGAACCCGACCTCTGCCTCTCGACTTTTTCTGCCTAGGCTTGGGCAACTTGGCGGTATCCAAGCCCTCGTGCTTCCTTCGGGTGGCACGCCAACTAGGGGAGGGGTTCTGCAGCTGAACGATACTACAGCCAAAAAGCAAACCAAAAGTGCTTCCACTTCAACTACTGCAGATTCATTTTCAAATGTCGGATGAAAAAGTACCGGTTGAGAAACCCTCAGAAAAATATCCAGCAGTGTTCGGAGTATGATTTTAGTAGCTTACTCAAATGTTGAGGACTGTTTTCGGCTATGTATTGATTTCACTGAAGAATCGAATGTGACCGATTTTAATGTTGCAATGCTGCGTCCAATATTGCGTTGCAGACTGCTTGTCACGTGATCATGTGTAGCACATCGATAGTTGGTTTGAGCTGCAACAGACCAGGTTTCCAAGACTACTCAACCATGAGTTTCATGCTAACTTTCACTCGAAAGTGTGCAAAACCTGACACGGCCTGAATAATGGTAACCAATCAGACGCATGTGGTGCTCGAATGCGTCTACAGTGGATCATCCTAACACGTCTGAGACAATACTCAGCAGGTGATAACATAGCTATTAAGAAATATTGTAGCGATCCAACTTTTATACGACTGAAACGTCTGATTTCGAAACAGGGGTTATGGTGTATTAGGCTAAAATCATCTGACCTGAGGCCAAACGTCTGAAGATTATGCCTCGTCTGATGCAGAATACTTGTTCCAGCAACTTTACAGATACCAAAATTTCGTTACTTGAGTCGAAAGAAATTCCGATGAAATGGTGGCCACATTAACCATTCTTCATAAGTTTGCTTTGTCTCATAAGAGTTCAAAAGTGAACTAACTCAAACCGTCCAGCAGACAAAGTTTAACAACCATCGCATTTTTTCTCACAGACATTGAAAATTCATCCTCAGCTAATTATGGTTTTTATGAAATATTTTTAAGAAATGAAGCATATCTTAACAGGAGACTTTCTAATCACCGTAACATGACGGCAACAGGAGATTCATTCTTTAACTGGTTATTACCCTGCCCTTGAGAGATGAGAGAGTTTGTCCCAAAAGGCAGCCGACAAACTTTTCTTGGGGTCCCTTGGAGAACTAATGTAAAATATACAGTCAGTTCAGAGTTGACTGTTCTAACGTCCGTCCAGAGGGCAACGGTCTCCTGTAGAAATATATCGGCTCTGGAGGTTGTCATAACTAGGCTACATGAACAAACGGTTGCCATCAAATCTCAAAGACACCCGTTCTGTGAACATCACAAGAGTAATTCTGCGTAGCTGATCAGAATAGAATGAATGACCAAAGTATGTACGCAGTTTGAATGTACACTTCATTTAGCCCTAGTGACTATTCAACGAGTTTCGGACTAAGCTCAGCCCAGATATTGCTAAAAAAGATTGAGTACCACATGGTGCATACTACGAAAGGTTTCAAATTCAAAACAGAGAGTATTTGAACAGGACATTTCGGTCGCCGTGGGCAGCCTTTTTCACTCAGTCGATTGTGCAAATCCTTAAAAAATGTTGGCCACGTTAACCGAAACGTCGAATTATACCACCTCGTTCTACTACACCGTATTTTAACTTTAAAAGTTTACATATACCCATCTCTCCTTTAAATACCTTGACTTCGAAAGAGCACTTTCGTTTATAATCCCACATAGATTCATATGCAGATTTGTTAGTACAACTCATTGACGAAGATTTCCCGCTCTGTAATCTGGAATCCGATAAAGATTCTCATTCGATCATTCATTGCCTGCTTCTGGGGTAACAGTCTGGTTGATCTAAGCTACAATAACCAGGAATTTAGTATGATGTTTTAATCGATCGATGATAACTACTTAATCAGACACGTGTGAACATTTTCTTGTACACTTGACGAACTGGAGCCTACCTGAGTCAAGCCACACAAGAGAAGACTGAACATGTTCGGTAAATTCCAAGCACTAGTCAGAGTTTCGAACGGGTGCAGCTGCTCCGGTGTTTGTTCAAACAGTTTCCACAACACGCGAATCCACGGGGAGTGTGATAAAACTTGTTCCACTTGGTTTTGTCTGGATGGAATATTGTCCATCATTAGTTTCGGGTATCCCAGTCCAATTATGCCTTCCCAGGTTGAGCCGTAGTGGGACAGGAAGAAATTCTGGGCATCCTCAATCAGCGAAAAGTGAATTGGAACGGGTGGAAGCCGCGTAATCGATTGATTATGTGCTGTTTACATTTGAGGTAGGTAGAAATTGGCAAGTTACATCATTTTATACCCATTTGAGAGACATGTCGGCACATAACGGAGTGCGTAGTGTTCAGAATCAGACTCAATATTCTGCAAAAACCCTGAAATTTCCAGCACAAGTCAGTCAAACTAAGTACATTCTACCAGTGACATGGGAATGCTGCCGAACGACTAACAGAGGAACTCAGAACAGATCGAATGAAGGAGATATACCAATCGCGTGATCAGTAATGAATACAAAATAGCGACGCTGTTGGCCTTATTCCCCTCTAAAGTTATGTTACGTCATCCTGGAGGTTTTCCCAAGATGTTCTGACAGAAGGCTCAAGGTCACTTGACGAGAATCCTCGTTCGTCTCGTTAGGCATCTGAAAATGACCTGACGTCCATTTATGATGTTTAATGGGATGACCTAACTCTGACATGAATTTCTAAAAAATGTACGGCTCTCAGTACATTTCAAATCAAATTGAGATCATCCACGGACTTCCATAAAGCGACCGAAAATACCTGAGAACCATACCGAGAAATCAATCACAAAGCATCGCCATGTTCTGGCGTGAAACTGTCGTGTTCAACACTTTTACGGCTGGCTCTAGTAATTCCTGTAGCGAGTAAAGATCACAGTAGGATAAGCCAGTGTCACACATAGTTGTGACCTTACCTTACTTAGAAGAAGTACAGAACACCGTCTGATTCACCTCACCTGGGTGATACTCAAGGACTAGAGGAATGGATATGTGATGAACATGACTGATGCTCTATTCATTATTCTCTTGTTTTAATATTCCATATGCTGTACATGGTTGTTACGCCCCCTGAATTCTGGATTTCTAGTTTGTCGGCTTGTACCGATATATGTACGAAACTTAATTCCCACAGGATAATAAAGCATGCTCAGTTGAAAAATATCGACAAAATGCAATATAAGTTAAGGGAAACATTTTTTCACCAAAGTAGAGTTGAGGCTAACATTTTCGGTGGGCTAAGCATTCCCATCGGTCTTGGTTGAGGAAAAAGTGAACGAGTCACCACCCTCATCATCATTTTTGAAAATTAGGTGCTTGTCATACAATGGTTATAACTGCTAGGTTCGTTCACCCATGATCTGAAGAGGTGGGTAGGCAGATGCGCATTGGAGACGGTAGCTGATATAATTGGTGCGTAGGTACGGGTTTTTCAGGAAACCTTGCATTGTCAGGGAAGTTATTAACTGAAAGCAATGGATTGGATAAAAGATCGTCATTGGGGTCGCAACCGCGTCATTTCCGACAATGTCTCTACCCACTGATGTGACCCGTGTCGGGGTCCCCATGCACGAAGACGGCACCGACCAGCGCTGCTAGATTTGCTGGTAATAGCTTTAATGCTTCGTTGTAAAGTCACTCTTCGACCTCAACTAGCTCGTTTCCACACTTCAGGTGTTTGTGCGCAAACAGCCCTTCGGGGAAGTCGGTCGACTGGCAAACTCGGCTTACTAGCTTATTTTATGGGGCACCAGTCTGACTGCGAGATGAGCCACACGTTAGCCAGTTTACCAAGTTTGTTCAACAAATGAAGCCCCGCTGTTAATTGAGTTAGGGTTGTGAGGATCTATTGTACATTTTTGGAATTCTCGTGCAGGTGGATGGCAGGACTGTTCCGATATCTGAGTATCTGAAAAAACCAAACAGTGTTGTCAATTGTTTGGTCAGACATAATAAAATGACATCGGATTCTTCCAAGCTAGCATCGGGCCCACTATGACAGAGCAGGTTATCACTGCAGCAAACTGAAACTTCCGGGTTTGGTGAGGTGATGGTGGAACGCATGAATGGCCCAATAACACTGTGGCGCGGTTTATTCCCTAAAAACATCACTAACTCTTTTCATTTCAGAGGGGTTTGTTAAACAATCGGTGGATTTATTGCTGGTCAACCTGTCGCTTTCGACAGAAAAGCTTCGTCAGGCTAAATGAGTAAGCAATTAGGTTGATTGGGTTTTAAGGCAGTCAGGGAACCAATCCGTGGGAGTCCTTATGACTAGTGACTTGATCAGTGCTGGATGTTCAGTCTGATGTGCCTATTTGTTGACTAGTGGGAATGACTAAGATTTACGATAGATTGGTTAGGGGGGGTTCACCTTTATGATGAACCCGGATTTTTTCGGCCTCGCTTCTTCAGTCTAGGACACCTTAATGGAAAAAATTCACAGATTCCGTCCATCTGTGTTCGTCCAAGGGTGCTGGGATAATTGGTTTGGGGATGGGGGTGGGTTTGTTTATTGGATCTAACTTTACTTGGATTTTGTACTTTTAGACCCGGGCCATTCCGCTGATAACTGCACACCCCCTCGTGTCATCTCGGCTGATCTAAGACCGCTCTCCACACGTTTGCAAGTTCTATTCACACTTGAATGCTTAGCGATTTCCGCCGCCTCGGTCACCAGTGGCTGTGGTGTGGATATTAAACCCCATCTCATGTTGTCCACATTTTCTAGATCTATCCTATGCCCAGTGTCTAGAGCGTGCCCTACCATTGATGAATCTTTGACTAACGCCTGGTATTCCTCTGCGTTTCTCGGTGGTCCGTTAATGGAACGCTTATGCTCACCGATTCTGGTGTGCAATTCCCTATATAAACCTATATAAACCTAAGGCATCTTCCAATTGATTGAAAACTCCTGTTTTATAGATACTCTGAGAATGCTGGTTGCTTATTTGACAAAAATCACGTGATTGTCCAACCAACGAGCCATAACGTGACCAGCACTCAGACAATTCAAATATGTCAGCACGTTGTGTGAGCGTAGTTCCCATAGACATCTCTTATCATTCTGATGATGAACAGAAGTTTCGGGGCATCAGTTTAGCTTGTCTCGGCAGTATCCGTTTTCGTGGTATCAGCCTCAGTGAATGAGCTACCGTTAATTACTACTTCTGAGGGCTTGGTTATTAGCGATCTGTACGATTGTAGGCAGCCGTCCATTATTTACCGACTCGACGGTGCGCAATAACCGCATGCAGCAAGGCAAACTGGCTGCGATGTTAGGTAGACTAGCACCTGTTTTGCGTTCCCAGGTCACATAAACTTTCGGAAAGACATCTGATGGCCGGAAAGGGCGAGCGAACCGAGAATGTAGTCAATATCTGACCAAAGGGCGAGTGCAGTGGAGACTTGAGCCGCTTCCCTCCTGCTTTCGACCAACCATTGCTTGGATCCAATTGGAATAACTGGAACGTTGTGCAACAAAATTATGGGCACACCTATTCCTTTAATCGCAGCTCTACTTTCAACAAATGGGGCTGAAGAACTTCCAGCACTAAGTGGTCAGACCCTATTTGAAACCTAAACCCAGGAGTTGCTTTGATTAACTGGTATACCAAAGCCCAAAAAATAGGTACGAAGGAGCCACCTGAGATTGTTGCCAATTTGAGCAAGCCGTTGCCCTAAAACCTTCTAAAATCCCGCTGTGCGGAATGTTTTTTGACCGAACATTCTGCTTCTCGTTCAGGCTAGCCATGGACCAAATTCTCTTTACTAGACGTTGGCTACATTTCACATCAACTGTAATAGTCTAATCTCTATGGTATCTATCGGGTGTAGGCAGATAGCGCAAGTTGGCCAGCCCACCAACTTCAGGGGACGAAGCAGTGGCAAACATTTGATAAACTGTTTGGTGCAAACTAAGGTAAACTGTTGCTTTGCTAGCCCAAACACTTGAGGATGGATGATCATACGTGGCATTCAGTGTATGAATATATGCATCAGTCTGATTAGCGGATTTATTCATTTTGTACCATGAGAGGGTGGGAGAATCAAACCTCTGAGGGAATTGTTTGCTGTCTGCAAGGACAACGTAAAAGTTCGTGCAACGCACAAAATGGCAGAATCAGTGGGCCACAAAAAGACGAAAAATTTAGAGGCCTAAGGTGTCTCCACTTTCTGTGTCCTCCAACATGAATTGAAACACTGCATTCTGAGTCTGCTTCCCAGCTGTACCATCGTTATCACTTTCAAGGGCTTCGACATAACTGGCCACGGAAGTGACCACCTTACAGAAGAAATCAAATTAAATCCGGTTAGAATGTTTCGCCGTTGGATCCTGTCTACCAAGTTATGGTTAAAACAGTGGTGGTGGCGGCATTTTGTCCTGGGCTGCATTCCTTCGTGATTCTTGTACCGCTTTGTTAATATTCCCTTTTTACTAGTTTTCAAAGGCTCGTGAGATGGTTACAGAGGTAAAATGAATGACTGTCAACTGACAAGGCTTTGCCTACCCAATCTTTGCTTGAGCGAATAGAAAATGCACTTGATGAGCCCGAATTGCAAGGGCGAAACCGGTCGTGGGCTGTCGAAGAGTCTTCAGCAACCTTGTGAGTAGTTTCCTCCATGAAAATATACTGCGATATCTTGAATATCGTGCCAACTGAATCATGAGGCGGCCTGTGTGCAGCACATTCAGTTGTAGAATATCGTAAACGAGAGATTCAGTCGAAACTTTCGTGAAAACCAAACTGACTTGCAAATGAGTGTGATTCTCGAAAACAGTCCAGTTCGGGTTCAGGTAGAATATAAGTTTGACGGAAACCCGGGGATTGCGCCTAGCTGGTGAGCCCCAAGGAGGACGAAACCGGTCGTGGGCTGTCGAAGAGTTTTCAGCAGCCTTTTGAGTAGTTTCGTTTATGAGAGCTGCACCGTACTTTTCACGAAGCTTTCCATCTTCTAGGGGACTAGGCTTTTTGGATTAGTGAACTAAACGAGCCTTCCTCAATGCTAAGTCAGAAAGTTTATATGGATTACTTGTTGCCGAAACTGTCACTGCAGAAACGGCAACAGAGACTGATCTTTGAACAGCGCCGAAATACCCGCTGAAATAAACACAAGGAAACTTCAAGGATTCATTCAACTGATGTACTCGAAAAATTGGGTGACCACGTAAAAAGTTTTTTCGCTCATAACCGATGTCATCTATGGTGACTAACTTTTATGGGAAGAGCGAGACTTTACAAAAAATGAAACTGAACCGTTTTTTGCTGCCGTTGAACATCTCTTGTGCCGTAAACTTCACTTACTAATCTATGGCTGAAGGGGAAGGATAGGATAGTTATGCAATAAGAAATACCACTACACTATACAGGGACGTAATTTCACAGAAGAATGACATCCTCTCGGCACCTGGCAACCACATCACCTGAATAAAGCACTACGACCGAGACACTACCATGTTTTCCAAGCGCAATCTTAGGCACTCAAGATCCAGGGTTCGTGTGCTTGAATCACAGACCATCCAGTCATCCGAGCTATCTCATGCCATCTTCGTCAACATGCGCCAGATTTAATCATCAGGACTTTTTTGCACTATCTACTCGACAGTATCAGAAAAGATCACAAAATTAACCCGGAACCAAAACGATTGCTTATGAAGGAATAGTCTCATAGAAGCCCAGTTGTTGTTTGAAACTAGCAATAACATGCAGACAGAAGATCGGTATGCATGTCGGAGAGCGGCTTCAACAATGAAACTGTATACATTTTGCACTTTTCACCCACAGAAACTACATTAATTTATCATGTCAGTAGTAGACCAAAACGTGGTTAAGAGCAAATCAAGCGCTTTTAGCTTGATGCGTAGCAGTCAACGAAAGCAAAATTCATTTTACGCCAACGACATGCTTTCCTTGAATAGTTGCCTTTCAGCTTGGAGCTGGACCATTCCAGGCAAAATAATTACTGCCAGCTTAACACCCGTCTGTTAATAGGAAGGAAACCACACTTGCCAGTAATATCTCCATTGATCCCATGTATGCAAAGGAGAAAAGGGTCATTGAGCAGCTGCTAAATGTGTAGAGCACCAATTGAAAGTGTACTTGTGCAAACCACTTTATGTTTCCAACATGGAGTGGCAGTTTTTATTCATCATGCAGTGGATCGTAGATAACAGGCAATCGGTAACCACTCGGTGTGGGAATGGCCAAGAGAAACACTCTGCTATAGATAACTAGAAATCACATAAAAGGCAGTGTCAGGGGGACTGGGTAGGTGAATGTTAACCCATATCCAAAAAACTGGAAAATGATGGAGGGCGACCTTGTCCTGAAGTTGTGCAGTTCCGGGAACAAACAAAGAGAATAATCATATTTGTTATCGGTGGAGGCTGAGAGATTGTTGATCACAGTCCAACAGATGAAGCATTATGCCACACGGCGAACGATGGCACACATCAGGAGCACCCTCTATTGCACACCCGTGTACAACAAAAATGTGAAATCTTACCTATTTCATTTCCCACACTCATGTTTTCTACATCAAACTGACCGGAACCAAGAGAACGTTCAGCGAATGGGAAAAAACAACTAAGAACCGAGAGATGTTGCGTTGACAACTAAGAATCGAAATTTGTGTTCACGTGGCAGATTTTTACAATCGAAATCGCGAGAGGGTTTCGACCTTATACGGCCAGATCGATGAGATGCGTCCAGCTAAATTCAAAGCTCATTGCTTGAAGCCTAACAGCCTGTCTGTCTGTGAATCCAGGTAGAAAACATTTGGCCACTGGCTAGTAGCCATGTAGTAATGCTCTGTTTTTACGTCTGAAAAGAAGAACTAACCAAAACATTTGCTCTCAAAAGTAGTGTACCTATTAGTAACTGAAGCCACCTGGATAGCATGTAGTCTCTAGTGAGTTCTTCCTTTTCAGCCATGAGATTCCGAAAGGAGCTGGAAACTAAAACAAACGCAGTAGGCGGATAGATGCTTTGAGGAACATGGACTCAAGGCCACCAATAGGCTTACTGTATTTACTGCTTGGTTGAGCCGTATGAAGAATACCGATTAACGTAAATAGGAATTTCAGGTAGGTTCCAAATTATGGTCCCATAATACTTTTGTGGCACACTTTGTTCCCCAAACGTAACCACTAGAGCAGTTCATTGAAACTGTGAGTAATTCTCGCTATCATGTTTGGGGGGAGAACCGTGTCGTCTGTACTTTTCTGAACTTTATATTCATCTTCTAGTTCTGCTACGAGAGCAAAATCGTCGAATGCCTCTGCGGAGAATGACAATAAGGTTTCATGGTTTTGATAGACCACGCTATATCAGCACGCAAGCATCCACCAATGGAATGTCAGTATATCATCCCACCAGCTTGGTCGGCACAATAGGTGATATCGGAGTTTGCACGGTCCAGAGTGAATATTAAAAAAAACAAGAACCATCACTTATGCTTACAGGAATGTGGGCTGCCTTAGTTCGTCATTCTATTGTCTACAGAGAGGATTGGGAGGGCACAGTTTTTCTCTGGTCAAAATCTGGTTAGACATAAAACGTGACCATGTAGAGGACACACGTGTCAAAGTAGGTAATACTTAGTTGCTGCAGTTCACGAAGAACAGTGTGGAAGCTACGAAATGTGGGGGTGAAACGACAAGCACCTAGTTTAAGCCTCAAGGTTCATAGCTTATTTTGCTGGTCCGAAAATTACGGGGTTGCGCACATCCGAACTCAGCTGATATCACTGTTTAGGAGACAAGTGATCAGAGCCTTCTGATCTGAGACTAACGGTAGCTGCGTTTCACTTTACACCGCTAGATTTGGTGTCCTGATATGAAAAGGTCTTATTCTAACCTACATTCGGAGGGAGGAGGTCAGGGTTTTCGGCACTGGAGCAATGCATGTATGTATGTATGCTGTTACCAGGACTCAAATCACATCGGTGGAAAGGTTATGTATACAGTCAGTTTACGCATCTGTTCCTTGTAGGAATGTAAATCCTACCGTGATGTGGTACTCAGTGGTAAGCTTCACCAGTGCGCCATTAGACAATTTACTCCTCGTAGTCACATGGAAGTTTGTGTTGCTCCTTTGAAAACAAGCGCGTGTTCGAGGCAGTACAAGCTCTTCAACAAATCAGATCAGATCGTTTTTTAAGAGACAAGTCCTTAAATACGTTTGCGATTATTGGTGTTGGATTTTCACAACACAGGATGAAGATGAGTGGCGCTGGTTAGGTTGTATACATTCTGCGACCAGGTCAATGAAAAGGCTCCACATTACAACATTCCTCTGTTTCCTAATTACCCTTAATAAATGATTAAAAGCTCATGAAAACCGAAAGCCTGAGTATAGTCACATAACACATTCATTAATTTTTTTCGCAGAAGCTTGCATTCGTAGGAATCCACATTCACGTGCGCTAATAAACCGAAAAGCCGCATGTGAGAATAGACAATCACTAGCTACTGACCGAAGGTTTGACAGCATGGGATGTGCTCATTTAGGGTGTACTGTTGCAGGTATTTTGGCGTAATTCAGATGAAATGAGAGCATCTGCTTGAAAATCAGTGCTGATATAGGCGAGGGTTATTGCTAAAACATGCAATGCGCTTTCATTGAAGTGCAACAGTAGGGTATCAACGTGTAGGTCTACTGGAATTTGGTGAAATTCTATGGGCGCAGTATCAATTCACGAGGAGTACTTGAATATTCAGTAGGTGGTGCGCACTCCTAATATCCAAGTTCGATAGCACTTTGGAGTCTTTGAATCAGTATTTTTTCCTCAACTCTACAAGATCTCTTTGCGTATGCAAATCAGTTGTGATAGGAGTTAATAAAACATCAGGACCAGCTGCCAATAACAGCCTACATGCCCTGGTCGTGGACTATCCGAATGCTAAGGGGCATTTCCGCACCATAATGTAGCTACAACATTTGCACATGCTCCTGCATGCATTCACAGCTGTTCACGTTCCAACAGCATCCAGTTCGCTCATTGGTGGAACCACCAATAAAACCGGGACAACTGATTTACGCCCTCAAGTTTGTTCACTTTCGAATGGCCGTACAAGTCCTGTAAGGCACGTGATTTATGGGATAAACCTCTTATCCCTTCCGGCGACAGCTCAACACCCTTATACAGAAATCTGAAGCGGTCTGTCTGTACCTTGTCACAGATACTCACTATAAATAGAAAATATGTGGTATCACCCGAACTTTGAACCCTCCAAAAAGCGCAAAAAAGCATTCAAAAAGCGTCTGGATCAACGTATAGTGAGCGAATAAGTTCACAGAAAACAGGGTGGCTGTTGTCTTAGACTGACAAAAACAGCTAGCAGATAAAAGTGGACTTTGTGTTACTTTCAAAGTAGTTAAAATTGCTTATGGTGTGCCAATGAATGCTCGTCAGTTTTACCACCATATTTACTGTCTAGTAAAATCCTGTCCCGCATTGCTTAGTGTATGAGCCTCTAGCCAATTCAACGAAAATTGATCCCACACTTTTCTCAAAAATAAAACTTTCAAACGATTCAAAACGTACTTACACATGTTTCTCAGCACAAGCGTGAGCCGATCTTTGCACAACGGACCTATCCAGCTTCCTTGTTGGTAACGAACCTGTTTGGAAAATCCACTGCATTCTAATGTGCTTGAAGCCGATGCATTGAACCACCGATCGACGTTTGCGAGTTTTCGGCCGGCTACCGCCAGATCGGCGCTGCCTGTGTCAACTAGTAAATTGAGCTGGGAAAATTAGAAAAAGCATATGAGCTTTAAAAATCGAGCGCGTTTAAAGGCATTTTCAAATAGCTGTTTATGGTAATGAATAGGAAAGCTGAGACCTAGGAAGACCCGGATTACACTGGCTTTTTCTAAGCACTCGTTCCCATCCAGTCTATGGGACGAAGAATCAGGGGCCTTGAGTTGTGCACTTTTATTTTTATGCTGCGTTACTAGTTTACTAAGCATCTCGCTTGACAAGGCAGATTGCGTTATACTTTCCGTAATCAGCGGCGCAATACAATGTGAGTACTACTTTACAACAGACAGGGAAAGAGGAATAAAACTGTGTGCTGAATTATGTAACCGGATTTGCTTCTGAAATTATGACTAGCGTTACCATTTCTTTCTGCAAAGTGGCTTCAAGTGCGACAGTTTTTCCGGTCAATAAAAAGGAACTGAATGTAAAAGCTGCCCTTTGCGGGCCTTAATTCGAAGTAGTGTGATGTAAATTTTGTAGAAATGATACACCGTTTACAAGTTCATTCTACTAGAAGTAGTGATTTGAACGTAAGAGCTCCATTGGTCACTCGACTGATTCATGAGTGTTTACGTATCCATCTATTGGTGTGGTCAAAGACAAAACTGGTTTTCCATTAGGAATTCAGAATAATGATCAGTTTGAAAGTCGTTGTTTGAATCCACCTACAGCGAATGTACTATTTGGTGTAGTGCAAATGTGAAACCATGCTCAGGTAACTGCTTACGTGAATAGTTGCTCAGGTTGCTGGTGGCCGTATTGTTCGAACGGATCTGAATGCACTTTCCACTTGACTGTGAGATTGAACCACAACCCAGTGGTGTCAGCATCACGTCACAAGCCGGCCTAGACAGAGGTGCACAGCGAACCTTTGCGACTTTCTAGACCACAGATTTTCAAGTCTAGTTATATTCATCGTAGAAATAACAGTAATTGGGTTCATACAAGTGACAGTGTTTTGATTCTGTTCCAAAAAACTGGATGATTGGTTTCCCCTAATTGCCAATTTTGATGTAGATGGCCCGAGTTCGTCAGAAATTTTGGGTTTCAACTTCAACGGCCTAGAAATTAAGGCTAAACTAGTTTTAGGCGTTCGCGAACTAATTAGTTTAACGAGCCATAGCTAATTCATTAATGCAGGTGTATTACTTTCACCCTGGGTAGCTCAATCGATAACTACAATGCTTTCCGGTATGCTTCATTGGTTAGCGTTTGAGCCTTGAATTGCTTTGGAAAATTGAGCTCTCCGAAATGTTTGGACCAAAATGTCATCTATTATAATTAATGTGGACTTTGAGTTTGGAGCTTGGAACTGTAAGCAGTTCAGGTCGGTGAACTGTAACAAGAAAAACCCAACGGGAAAACGGTGAAAAATATTTATCTCCATAGCTCCTTTAAGGGGAGATAGAAAAGCGTATAAGGTTTCTTCGATATCAGTGTGCAAGATTTGGGGGGGGGGTATCAAGGGTCAGTCAAACAGTTGTAACGGCCTTCGTAAAATCCCAGTCATACTGACACTGGCCCGTCGTCAACCCACTTTGATGTTAACTGTCTAAAGATCACTGGTAAGCTTGGTTTCACCTAGCAAGTAAATATACCAAGATTTTAATGAACTTAGACTCCTTTTGTCATGAAGCGGGCAATTTTCAGAGTCGCATGTTGCTGAGGAACTCGAGTGAATTTTCCAGAACACTTGCACAAATTACTATGACAACCGACGGGGGCAATAGAGCCTTTTGTCGTTGAAAGTCACGTGTGATATAAGTGAGACAATGAGCGAGGACTAGAACACTTTATTGTAAGGAAAAGTTTTCTACCTCAAATCACGCCGCGATTTGGTTGTCACTCTGGATAATCACTTGAAAGTTGTGCATCACTCATTGAAATTTAGCTTCCGAGAAACGTCGCCGTCTCCAAGTGACGTCAGAAATAATGCAGATCTTTTAAGTATCCCGTGTGTCGTATTTAATTATATTGGTAGATTTTCGTAACACTAATGGGTTTCTAGTTCCACTTGTTAAGTAATAGCCTTGTGAGTAGTCCGCAGTTCTGAGCACCACTCATTGAGGCGGAAATTCCTATTCCAACCGACAGCAAGAACCAAATAGTTCGAGATCAGTTCTCGCATCAATGCACAACCGGAAGACAACGATGAGGCCCTAAAAATCTGCTTTTCCTCTAGTCCCAAAATCGCCCCCAAAGCTATTTGTCGGATCGTCACAATAATTCTGAATCAGCGAGAAAAGGAAACCCAATACCAATAAAATGGATATCACTCTGGTGATTAAACAGCAGTGCGGACTACATTTAAGGTTACTAAAAGTGGGTTCAAACAACCAAGTATTAAAGAGTGATGTTGTGTGTGCTTATTTCAGCTGCTGGCCCGGCTCTTCTAGATTTAACGAAACTTTCCAGCCTAATAATGGCATTTTTTCAGCAAACCTTGAAAAAAGAAAAGCGGTAGTGGCCTAAGATTCATTTAGAACGTCATTCATTTCGTATGCTTTGGCTCTGAATGGAAGTCTTTCGGAACATTTGGTCAGATGACCTGCGTATTCGACTGCTTTAGTAATTGAACGAACAAAATCGGACATATGAGACACCAATATGTCATAAGCATAGGCAATTTGAGGAAGGTTTTCTATAACCCCTGGCAACAAAAACACCCTTGTGTGTCTGCATCACCGGTTTATCTCTGACAACCTCTAGGCTTCCGTAGCAGTCCATTTTGGATACAGCTGGATACTTTGTGTGAGAAGTTTAGTATTATACCTGAAGTACCTGACAAACAAATCCTCTACCTAAGTGTTTCCTACGGTCCTGAAGCTTACTGCATTGCTGTAATTCTCATGTTTTCCTGATAGCTGCGCAAGATAGCTCAGTGGTTAAGGCGCCATCTTACAGACCTTTTGCCAAACTCAACTATGGCATCTCGGGTGCTCCTGTCTAAGTTTAAGCAAAATGGAAGATTTCCAGACCTCGTGCCTCCTTTCCCTGGCACAATCAGCAAAGCACTGAAATATTACTACAACCGAACCATTTTACTGATCAAATTTTTCAGCTAAATTCATTCTTTGAGATTCACATTACATTGAGGATTTAATTTTTTGGAAGCGTTTGAGGCGAAGGACATATTTTGTGTCATCATAAGAGCATCTAAATTCTAGTGGACAACCACTCCATATCAAAATAAACAAAAATAATTAACGTAACTCGATACAGTGTAATAACATCCACTTTAAAAAAGGGGCATCCAAAAAAGCTCCTTTTGGAGATAACATGCTTTTCTTTCAGATTTTTACTCGACAACGCAAAACATCTATTCATCTCAGTTGAAAAAAACATGAAAAAAATACACAGAGCTCGCGAAAAAGCAGGATCCTGCATGTGAACATTATCCGTTTGCTCTAGAGATTGATAGCCCTGTTCCTCATAGCGGAAGTTTCTTTTATTCCGCTCGTAAAGTGGAAAGTTAAAGATCATGTAAGTAAACATTTGCTAAAACAGCCACGTTTCTGGTGCACCCTGGTAAGACAAAGTAATATGCTGCCCTGCATAGAAAGACTGCCTCATGGAGGGAACAAACGTTCATTTTCATACAGCAAGCATTTGTGCAAACGGGCGCCTTAGATACATTCGTGTTCAAATTTAAGTAACCCAGAAAATAATTGGAAGTGTTTGACCTTGTCTTTCCGACCCGCGTGCAAATCAATTTACACAAATACTGGCTTAAAAAGTGGAAAGAAAACTAAGCCTGTTCCGCTAGCTAGACAAAGTGCCCAATATTATTAAAGATATTTGCTATACTAACAACAAAACAAAAACTGTGAGCAGTCTCCTTAAATTATTTCGGAGGCACTAACGAGCTTCTGAGCCCGATTAAATGCAGCACCTACCAGAAGTGATGTATATTAGAGCTGACAGTAAATCTTGGAACGAATTGTATGACATTCTGCGTGTACTATATACTAAAAGAATAGACGTAAAAAAAGCTTAAACACACCTAGCCTGTCTTGTCACCTGTATGCGGCTGCTTCTGAGAACATTTTTTAAAATTTAAATTGGTACACGTAGATCAGTAAGAAATAAGCGGTCGAAACAATTCCCACTGCGTTCACAACCCCTCAAGCGATTTTACTCCCAAAGTCACCCTGGTAGACAGGCGCTCTGCTAAAACGAGGAAACGAAACACAAACCAGGGAAAAGTAAGGCCGCCTTAACCAAGACGCTTGCAATAATTTTGCTGGTAAGAATTAGAGACCTTCGCGGAACTACAGTAAAACCCTCAAGATAAAAACACACCAAGATACTCTACAAAACCGTTGGAATGCAAGGTGGCGTCTGTCAGAGATGCCTGCTCTCTCCATTGCTGCCTAATTTCGTGATCGACGAGATAATGAGACAAAATCTGGAAGCTGTTCAAAACGTTCGTAGTCAAATACCCCCTAAGGAACTCCCTTAAAATGCAGAAGGCATCGCTCTCGTCTTCGAGGAGCAGGAAGAGGTGCTGGTGTTTTTATGAACTGACCGAAGTTATCCCTTCCTTTGGCGTGCACTTTGCACCCAAAAAAGTGTAAATTCATGCTCGTGGACATGTATTCACTGAACACACCACTTGCAACCCATGGAATTACACCCGAAGCTGCGAAGCGTTCTACATATTTCGAAATCTGCATTAGTTTTGATTTTGTGCACAGGCATGATTTTGTGCTAAGGTTAGTGCACACACCTGCAAGGATCGAGTCGCAGTCATCAACTCGATACACCTATCGTAGCAAAGTGGCATATCCCTAAATCATCATCATCGACCGTATGACATCAGTATTCAACACCTATACTTGACTACCGTTCAACCCTGGTTTATTTGAAAGTCTTATTGTGAAGAAAAAACAAAGGTGGACTGAGAAGGGACTTAGTGCTGGCTTATAACAATCATTCCAAAGTGCCTACACCTCCAAACGTTCATTCAAGCAAATGAATAGAAACTGACAACAAGAACGCCACTGATATTGGTTGGCAGCCATATTTTGCGACGTCTCCAACCACGCACAGTGAGGATCACACGGTCCTCATTCCGGAAGGCGAGTTGCATTACCAGCACCCAAACGTTTCGTGATGTCTTTCATAATCCTCTGCCAAGTCAAGGTTTTGTCACCTTTCTGTTTACGCCACTCCGTATTGGGCATAGAAAACAGCAGTTTCTTCGGCAAACGATGATTCAGTATACACAACACATGTCTCAACCAACACAGCTTCTGATGCTGGACACATTCTTCAATGGAAGTAGCCGTCGCACAACCGAAAGCTCGCTTTCTGACTGCCTCGATACGGATACGCCGACACCAACCCACACTAGCTATGGTTCTGAGACAACGATTGTCGAACATCTGGAGACGTCTCAGTTCCGCTGCTCGAATAGGCCATGTCTCACAGCCGTACATCAAAACAGCCTGTACTGTGGCTTGAAACACACGTCTCGCTAGATCCACGGATAAATCACGCTGATACCATAGGTGTCTCAAAGTGACAAACGCGACCCAAACCTTGCAGATTAATACATTGACCCCATCCGTCACACTGCAGTTGTAGATAATACAAATTCCAATATACGTAAAACGCTCCACAACTTTACGTGATTCCCCCTGGATTGTAAGTGGCGTGTTTAGTGACTACGTGGCCAGAAGAATGACCCGCACTTTTTGGATGCAAATTGCATATAAAAGGACAGAATGACTTTGGTCAGTTCACCCAAAAACACTTGCGCCTTCTACTCCTCTTCAAAGATGAGAATTGTGTCGTCTACATATTTCAGATCGACAAGTTATTTGTCACAGGCTATTTGAACACCAGTTTTTCGAAGATCTTTTGTGTTCGTCTCATGATTTTATCGATTACGAATTGGAACAGGAATAGGGAGAGTAAGCATCCCTGACGGACACCACTTTGTGCACGGACGCCTTTGAAGAACTCGCCTTATACTCTCACACGTCCGGAAGTCTGGGAATACAACCAGCTTATTATGTTTACGAACTTCCGGGGCATTTTTTGATGGGCACGCGAAGAACAGACAGACCATCCGAGTCAAATGCACCTCGGAAATCCAGGAATTGTGGGTCGTCTATATGTATGGCCATTTGTGAAGATTTGGTCAGTTCAACCTTTACCAGGCCAAAATCTTGCTTGCTACGCTCAATTCAGTGTCTCGCGGACCATCATAAGGCGACGAGGCCCCAGTGAATTTAGCAGTTTCGCTACAACCGGGGTCAAGCTGATTACCCTACTGTTTTTACACTCACTACAAGCCCCTTTTTGAAAATGAATGCTATCATGGGCTCTCAGCAGTCCTGTATAACAGATTTCTGCTCCCAAATGCAAGCTAATAGATTAGACAAGCGGTGACTGGGGACTTTACTCCCATCTTTGAATAATGCAAGTGACAGGTCATTCGGGCCATAGGCTTGGTGGCGCTTGAAAGAACACATGCAGTCGTAAATCTCCGAGGCCGTAGACGGTTCCGGGGTTCTACGTCACCCGTGGGCTCCAGATAGCTGCCATCTGGTGGCCATGACAACTGTTACTCGGAATATTCGGACTATCGGTCAAGGTGTTCTTCCTTATTCTAGATGGTGACTCCCACCCGATCCTTGATGGTTTCACTCACAGATGGCTCCCGGTCACATGGAGCAGCTTAAATAATCTTCGGGCATTGCCGGATTTCGGGGCTTCTCCCACTTTCTTGGCTTTGCGTGTCTATACTCCACGGTCAGCTCGCACTCTCACGTCTACTTGACGTCTAATAATTTGATACACCAGGTATTGTTCGGGGCCGGCTAGGATCCTTCTCCTTACCAGTATGAGTCGACATCTGATGGTGGAGCGTTTGTAAGAGACTCTAGAAGACGATTCTGGTAATTTTATTTATTATCCGGATCTGCCAGTCTTTTAGTTACTAGTTGACTTGTCCGCACCTTATGCGGCCCTGGAAAACGTTGAGAGAAGCTACTCTGGACGAGTTCGTGGTTGGAATCTACAAATGTGTTTTAAAGCGGCCGGCCGGCAGTCAGTTATTGACCCACGCCATCGGTAACTGATGGCGATGTGATACCATGTGGCCAGACTACTCCGGCTACTCCCGAAGTTAGCACTGCTTAAAAACAGTCTCCGTTCAGCGCACAGTTTGAAGCACTTGTTTACTACTGTCCATTATTACAGAATCTGATCCATATTGACTCCCTAATTGAGTATCAGACAGGCTAAACCTGCTCACTTGTGCATCCGTATCACCAGGAATCACCACGATATCTGAGCTTTCAGCTCGCCACAACAGAGCATTCATGACGTCTTAAACCCGTCTTTAACAGCACCGGAGCTGCAGTCAGTTGGGGCGTAAGCAGATCGGATAAACACACAGTCAATAACTTCCCGCTTGTGAGACTTCTTCACAGACGTTGCGAGACAAACCGCATAGAGGCGACGATCAACAGGTATCCAGTCAGGTAAGGATACTTCCGTCCGGTGGCCAGATAGAGTGGGTGTCGAGGCTCGAAGTTTGATGGAGATACCTGATGATGTCGGAACGTCAAAAGTATCCCGTTTTTGCTCGCCCGCCCTGCTGTATGCAGCAAGTAAGGTGACCCGGCAGGTGGCACCACGGGGTGGCCGATGTGGTATGACTTTAGTGCTTGACGAAAGTATCATGGTTGTCCATGGGACGGAATTCTGTCAAGGCGCCCACATCTAGACAGGAGGACGACTAGGTTCCTCAACCAAAACCTTTGACTCATAAGACCAACCACAGTGTTTGGCGGGAAATGCAAATTCATTACTATTTCAACAGAAGAGTCACTACATGTTCAAACCCGCAAACTAAAGGAAATTGAGACGGCGTTCGTCAGATCTCTAACCATAAATCAACCAGGAATCGGTGACTCTGTGAATGTCGCTGGGACGCTCTCCAGCTCAATGGGTGGCTGAGGCGTGCAAAACGTCACACCACGGTAAGGTCCGGTCTCTTTGTGATGGCACACTAAACTATCATTTACCGAGGTGGGTGCTGTCTTTCGTGTACAACCCTGAGTAGCACAAGTATACAGGTGGCCAACCTTTGCCCCGGTAGAGCGATATGAAAGAGATCACAAAACTTTTCGGTGTTGTTGGTGCGGCCTGTTTTCAAGGATTGGGGCCGTGTGATGCCCACTGTGTCTTTTCTGGTACGTTGCAGGTTCTGGCTGATAATCAATATCGGTGGAGTTCTTGTGGTCAAATTCTATCCATATTGTCTGAGCAAATGAGAGAACTTACAGGCGCCAGTTATTCCTGTTCTCCAATTGACCATTTCATTCCCGACAACACCTGTCAGAAAACTGTAAACCGAGAAGCACACTTCTTCTTATCTTCCCACGGCTGCGTATGCTAACGTGATTAGAGCTGTGGTTCCTCAGGAGGTCATAATGGCCGTTATATACACAACCACAAAAATTCCTGGTTCAAAGATTGGTTTCCACGGTGTTTAGCTTTTGCTTCACTGGACTTTCTCCCTCACGGTTCGCAAGCACTAAGACTGGCCAAATCACTAGTGACGTACTTTGGATCTTACAGCCTAGCAAGAGCACAAGAAAGCCTCCAGTACCAGATTCAAGATGAATGTCTGCGAACTCGAATGACTAGCAGCTTGAGCGATCTTCTCAGTGAGAATGGCTCTTGGCACTGTTGGTTCAGACTCGGTGTCGCCCAATAACTTTTCAATCCCCAGGATCAGCCCTTTTTGAAGACTCCAACCTCCATCGCCTCGGTGATCTATCTGCCAGTTCTGACGAACGGAAAGCTGTGGCAAACTTGTCTGTATACATCATGAGTCCCCTATTGGGTGACGGTGTTCTTCCTTTAAAAACCAACCTATTCAGCTATTCGGTCTTCAGATGTTGTAGCTAAAGTTGATTGTTGGTTGGCAGTTGAAATTGAATTTGAACACGCTCCATTTTCTACAGGTCCTGGTTAGTTTGGAAGTCACTTGTTATATTTTTTCTTTTTTTTTAATCGAAAAGTGTAGTTGCCCAGGTATCCTTCGGCAAGGGCGCTTCGGTAGCCCCTGAGAAGCTCTATGGACCACCCATGGGATATGGGTGTTGTGGTTTCCCTCTGCTCCCATACATCGCCCGATATCTCGATACCCGCGCCAGAAATGGGTGGAGACCTTGCTTTCTCAAGGCTCTAATAGACAGTGTAGATGTGTGGACGGTGATCAGTAGGAGCTCTCTCAAAATGGTGGTGGATGCTACTGAGCACTCTGGATGTGTGCAAATATTCCTCGCAGGAGCAGGATTCGTATTGTACAGCTTCGTCCCTGTACCAACATTAATAGCGCAATTGATGCAGTCATTATTCTTGTAACTCCTGCGGGACCACTAGGGAGTGGACGATTCCGGAGTTAATTGTTTTACATTCTCGAACCAACAGCAGACGGAGTCGAAACTCCGCGCTTGTGCACAGATTCCGCTCCTCAATTGATCGATGATTATTCCGAAAGTCGGAAAGCTCTTCTTCTCGTCGTTGGTAGTTTTCGAAATTTTTACTTACTTCTTGTAGACGAAACGGGAGAGCACGGGACGTGACCCGCTGACTTTTAGTCAAGAAGCAAGACAAGCCAAAATATTGTTTCGTTTTAACATCAGTGTATCATTTTTGTCTGACTTTTGTACTTACCTCTTGTGGTGGGTTACCTAGCGTAACTGGGAGGTAATAACCCATCCCAGGTAATCCCGCTAAGTTGCTCACAGCCATTTTAGCGCTATTGGGAAAGGATGCAGCAAAGAGGGCTTCGTTTTCTGTTCGGCGTAATCGTATAGGCAAGATAATATTGGTTTTACAATGGGTGGTGGCAAAAATAAAAATTATCAACGCTAGCGATAACTGCATCGCTTTTCATAAGTGCCACTCACTATTTGACCAAGAGCTCAACTCGTCAGAAGGGTCGACGCACACCATAGTTCAGTTCCGGATCGCTTATTTATCAAGACGCCAAACCAACATGGAATATCGTCCCGTTTCCCAGGCCTACAAGCCCCACGGTTCTTTGACATTTCAAAGTTCGCAGGTGACCTGGCCGTGAACGCGCGTGGTTCTAAGAAAGTTGCATCTCACGGGTTCCGTAGCCGGCGGCTAGAGGCACAATGTATTTTTCCACGGTTCTTATTTCAAAGTTCGCAGGTGACCTGGCCGTGAACGCGCGTGGTTCTAAGAAAGTTGCATCTCACGGGTTCCGTAGCCGGCGGGCGGAGGCACAATGTATTTTTCTGCAAAACGCCTGCGGACGCAATGAAAACTTTAACGTCAAAATGTTACACTTCTTTGCATATATGCGTAGAGTGAAAACCCCCCTCATCTGCCGTTATTTTTTGCGATTTGTTTTAATCGATACATTTGAAAATTATTGGCGCACATTCGGTATTGGCGCACATTCGGCTTTGAACTTCGTCTGCTATGGCTTCGGAAGTGGGTTTCGTTGAGAAATTTGTGGGTGTATCGTTTTCATCCTTCACGGCATTTGAGAAGACCTTAAATCAATACATGAAGGATAACTTTGTGATATTTGTGCGTTCATCCAGTAATCGAAGCACCAACACTATTTTGCGTTACGAATGGGTGTACTACAAATGCAGCAGGCGCCCTCCAAGAAAAACGGAAAGCCGTGGAATCCGAAGAAGCTAGTAAGCCGAGCGTAATTTCAAAAAAAAAAGAAGTACGCGAAGCACCAGCTGCCCAGTGCGGTTTTGTCTACGGAGGCAAAGTAACCAACTGGCAGTGACGTCTTATTTTCTGGAACACAACCACAAACTGTCAAAGTTTCTTTACGATCGGCTTCCAATTAATCGACGCTTAACCGAAGACGAGTTGGGCACATGCCAGGCCCTGCTGAGATATGGAACGCCGTCATCTGAGGTGCGGCAGTTTGTGGCGGATGAATTCGGAAAGATTCTTACAACTAAGGATATACACAACTACCGCCGGAAGTGTCGACCGGCTATGTTGAGTAGGTGCCTAATGGTTGGGTTTTAATGTAGCAGATGATATGCCTTCGGTCCTGGCAAAACTTCGGGAGACCGGACGCGTTCTTGTGTGTCAGGGAGAGGAAGGTCACTATAGCCACATATGTTTCTCCCGATGGCAGCAGATAGC